AATAACGATCTCTATCTCTCTCTCTAGTCTGCGTGTTGCCGCGGAAAATTTACCGCGTCCGTTTCACCGGTTAGAACACGGACGTCGGGCCCTCTTTTATTCCCAGCAGGTCCGGATACGCAGCTGCCTAAAGGACAAAAAGGAAAAGACAAAGTATCCGTTCTCTCTCTCTCTCTCTCTCTCTCTCTCTCTCTCTCTCTCTCTCTCTCTCTCTCTCTCCCGGTGACGCTTGGCGCGATCAGAAGAATCGAGCGAACGCTGCGCCGGTTGGTCAAGCAGCTCCGCGTGTATCAACCGCGCGTTCTTCCTATTATTATTAAAGGTTCACTTATAAATTCACGCCGCGAATTAGAACGAAAATCTCGGCTCCTGGTCTCGCGACGACGCGGAACGTGCCGGGTACGCGAGAATACGCGCGCCCCTGGGACTTTCTCCGTGCTAGCACGCCCACAGCGACCCTGCGAGGCTCAGGAACGCCGACGGCCGACCGTTCACAGGCGCACTTCCTCGCCAAGTGAAACAATCCCTGCTGCGGAGTAGTTTGTCCGCGCTGCTTGAGAGCTCCAAACATTTTTCCATTTAAATTGTTTACATTTAAAACGAGATAAAAGGATCCGTTCACTCTTCAGAGTGAGATTTAGTCTAAGAATATATATTACGTTATATCGAGAAAATTTTCCTCAGAAAGGACGTTTTGGAATGTGGCCTCGGATGTTCAAATGAGAAGAACCAAAGATATTTTACTAGCAAGTATAAAAAGTAAGCAACGTGAATAAACCCAGCTATTGGCGCGACATCAAAATCGGCATTTGTGGTTCCCCACTCGACATCGCTGCTTCATTTATATGTATATACATTCTACATATAGCCAGGGATAAAGTATATAAATATAGAATATATAATATATTATATACTATATAAAATCGATCTGTCTTTTTCAGCTGGAACTTCTGATACATCGTTCATCTTTCTTCTTTCCTCGTTGAACAGAAAAGCAAGAAAGATACAGAAAGTTCACTGATGAGAACAGACCCGAGTATATACATGTACAACGGATTGAAAAACGGACGATTGCACTCGAATAATAATTTAATCCGCAATCCGAAAAATAGCCCGATTACTATAAATAAACCCTAAATACTTAATCGCCTCCGATATTTCGCGCTCTCATTCCGATCGAAGATTTTTCTTCTCATCTCTCGTCTGAAATGTCAGTCTCCCGACTCCGACGCGTCGCGCTCCCGAGAGATCGACGTTAGAAAGAAGAATAGAAAGCTGACTCTCCGGAGCCGCGAAGCGGAGGCCAAATGACAAACGTCAGCCGTATACGGTACAATATGGTAACCGGCGCGGCGCGGCGCGGCACGGCGCATCGCTGATCGCACAGCGGAAATGCGGCATGGCAGTCACAACAGGCAGGGCCGCTTCTGCGTCTTACATAAGCTTCCGATCTCTTTCGAGCTGTCAGTTATTCGTCTCTTCGAATCTGCGCATATTTATTGCTTCCGCGCGACACGGCGTCTCGTCATCGACGGCCGTACGTACGTTCACGTATACGTGCACGTCAATAGGTACGCGTTACCACGCGTATTTTGCTCCGGAACGTCTTGTAGATGGTATTTCTACGTGCGCGAGATACGGACGGTCGTGAAATGCGTAACATCACGCAAATGATCTCTAACCTGCGAGACGATACGTTGCGTGCCAGCGCTCGTGTCCACAACGTCAGTCTCGCTTGTCACACGGCAAAATCACACTTTTTTTCACACACTCAAAAACCACATCTCGTTACGATCACAGTGTTCTTATTGAAAATGCGTTAAGAGAGAACGTGCGTTGCCGTTAAATAGGGCATCTGGCGTCGGGGTCGGGGATTTCTCGACGGCTTCCGAAAGATGGCACATCTTTCGACAGTTCAGTGGAGGCACTACAGTAGAGATTGGCATAAGTGGCATAGACCAGCGTGAAGATAGCTGTCGGATTAACACCTTTGATAATTTCAAAAAGCCCATTCGATTGCTAATTGTTTGCTAATTTTTGCATTTTTTTAAATTTTGTTTGCATATTAATTATTTTGGGCAGAAAACCGAAAATAAAATTTGGACAAGTGCAACTAGGTGTGATCATTTTGAATTTTTATCTCATGGTTCCGTGGATATTTCGATGTTAAAATGTTTGTTAATCTGCCAGTTCTGTGCATGAGAGTATTATTTTTGTTTTATCGATACATTGTTCTATACTTTATTTATTAATGACATGTAATTTATCTAGAAACTTTAGTCCTAGTTACTTCCAAGCGACTCGATGCGCATGCACCGTTCTTGCTTAGGGTGAAATCATACGGTACGAAACGACTGCGGAATAAAGAATGCGTCATAGAAGCAACCAATCAGCGTTTGAAAAGTTTGAAAAAATGTAAAAAAATTACTTATAATATGTATAATTATATATAAAATTATGGATATATAAAATTGTGTATGAGCAATTTTTTATATTTTTCTAAATTTGTTTTTTTTTCTAAAACGAACAATGGTCGTTCTAAATGCACCCAATATATATGGTAGTTTGATAGGGGAGGGCTCCGATTGCATACATCGCATATTGCACACATGTATCGCTGATTGGCCAATTTAAAAATAAAATAATCTCATTGGCAAAACAGTAAAAAATTACTAGGCATTAGTTGATCTGAGTGGTGTGTACAATCTGAACTGTAGGCAAACGGGATCCTCCCATCGATCTTCTTTGCATTCTCACATGACAAAATATCTGATGACAAGTTTTCCTTCTATTGCGTCATATTCCGTGCTGGGCGACGCCGGGTTATTTTTCCAATATTGCATTGTTCTTGTCATATAACCTAGAAAAAACCATAATCTGTCAACTTATATTATATTCTTTATATATTCTTAAAGTCAGTATAATAAAAAGATGTATAAACGCACAGTGTCTGGTAGTGCCATGATATTGGCGAGGAACTTGGGATTTGTTAAGGTGAAATATATCTCGCAGTTTCGACTCCGAAAAAATGTTTAATTCTTATAAGTTTCACGGAATATTTCACGTTGCAGGATCACATGTTTGCGAGCGTAGGAAATAAAATGTTTAGCTCTGTGACGCAAAATTCACGATACAAACCGTTAAATCCAATAAACACTATCATAATGTTCGTTCCTCAACAACAGGTTTGTTTAATGAACAATATATTTGCAACGTATATCAGTACATGATTCATACATACTTCTGATTAGTGTCAAGTTAGCTTTTATTTAACTTGTAATTTTTTTAATGATTTGAAGTAAAACTACATATAAAATTAGTTCGGCAATCACTAATCCGAAGGAAAACGTTTTACTTAGGCATGGATCGTAGAACGAATGGGGAAGTTTCATAAAATTTTAGATCCAGGTCTGAACATTTTGCTTCCTGTAATCGATAGAGTTAAGTATGTGCAAGTTTTAAAGGAATTAGCAATAGATGTGCCACAACAAAGTGCAGTTACATCAGGTAGCTATGCTGTCTAATACAAACTTTAAGAATATTATGTATTTATAACACGGTATTCGTAATAAAATACTTTTTGATTTGATTTCAGATAATGTGACTTTAAATATCGATGCAGTATTGTATTTAAGAGTAACTGACCCTTATCTAGCATCCTATGGCGTTGAGGATGCTGAGTTTGCAGTAATTCAAGTAGCCCAAACTACCATGAGATCTGAGCTAGGAAAAATATCTTTAGATAAAGTATTTAGGGAAAGGGAAGAATTAAACGTTTCCATTGTTGAAAGTATCAACAAGGCGAGCAGTGCATGGGGAATAAAGTGTCTGAGATATGAGATACGTAAGTTGTAAAAGTAGTAATTATAGGCCTGTTCTTTTTGGCTGAACTTTTGCACCGGTTCATCTTTCTTCCTCTTCTTTCCTCCTGGAGAGAAAAGAAGAATAGACCTTATGTAACAGATATCTCAGGTTGCTCAACTAAAACTAGAAAAAATTTCTATCCAAAATAAACAAATATACACAATATTCTTCATTAAATTTATTAAATGTTTATTGATATTTTAGGGGATGTAAAATTACCATCAAGGGTACAGGAAGCAATGCAAATGCAGGTAGAAGCCGAACGAAAGAAACGTGCTGCAATATTGGAATCTGAAGGTGTTAGGGAAGCTGAGATAAATGTGGCCGAGGGCAAACGACTCGCACGAATTTTAGCTTCTGGTGCTGTGCTATTCATATTGAGTATAGCTTCTACTCACAGCAAACTTGCACATTGCTTTTTGAATTTATCTGAAAAAGCAATTTTAATATCGCATATGTGAACACAAAATTAGTGAAAAATTTAATTTTTGTAATGATAAACTTGATTACTACTGTAGAAGCAGCAAGGCAAGAGCAAATAAACAAAGCCACTGGAGAAGCCGCAGCGGTAGTAGCAGTAGCGGAGGCACGAGCGAAGGGATTACAAATAGTTGCAAATGCCCTTGGTGTCACGGATGCAAAAAACGCAGCGGCGCTCAGCATAGCAGAACAATATATCAATGCATTTAACAAATTAGCAAAAGTTAATAATACATTGATATTGCCAAGCAACGTAGGAGATGTGCCAACGTTTGTAGCACAGGTTTGTCGCCCATTGTTCGTTTTTTATTATTTATTAAAATTTTAGTAGTAGTATTATCAAGATTTTTTGTTTTGTTACATTCTATAGGCGATGGCAATTTATAAACAAGTAATGCCAGGTCACAAAAACAATAATGAGCAAATAAAACAAGTAACGAGTAATCAATCGAATGTTCACATGGAAGATTCTGATGAAACATTTGAGTACTTCAGCGATAAGGAAGAAGCCGAGAAGCACAGAAAAACGGAAGAACAAAAGCCTCGAATATTATAAATATTTATACCTACAATAAAGAAATATTTTCATATTTTTCACACGTTATTTAATTAAATTTCGCGATGTAAATATCATGATATTGTCATAAACTATCATAAAGCATTTACATACACCCAAATTTGTTTCATTAGTCAAATCTTTTTCTTATTGCATCACAAAACTCTTTCAAAATTTACATACATTTATATAAATGCAAGTTGATAGGGAAATTGCTCACAATTGAGGTTCAGTTTTTAGTACAAGTCTTAATCCACCCAATATCTTAGAGAAAATAATATCCAACAATTTACAATTGGCATTTTATTACAAATTGGAAGCTTTACGTAGAACGTATGATATATTATGGTGTACATGATAGTAAAAAGATATGTCGCACAAATATCCTTATGCTTATTCACTTGCGTTTCTTGGACTGCATGATTGTATTTTGTATAGACACGCCATACGTTTCCTGAGAAATTCTATTCATATAATACAGCGCAACCAGAGAGAATATTAAACAAGTTGTAGTGGACACACGGTGGATTAGGGCAGAAGCAATTAGACTTAAAGTCAATGAGAAGACCACTGTAACAAAACAAAGATATATATCAGCTTATGTATATCATTTAACAACTATTTCTATATTATTAACTTAAATAATTCACTTTATAATGTTAAACAATACAATTGCAATACAAGAGTCTCTCAGAAGCTAAATTGATAAATTTCATGAAATAAAAAGGTGAAAGAAATTATATTTTACACTAATTATATATCTGGTATTAAAATATTAAAAAATTTGCCCAATTTGGTTAGTTTGACTTTTAAGAGACTTTTCTCTGTCAGTTTCTATATACCTTCTGGGAGTAATTTCTGTTGGAAAGACTTTCCGAATAAGGTACTTTCAAGATTTCCCACAGCAGTCAATGTACACATGAACAACAAAGATCCGATCAATCCTCCGAGAATGGTTCCCAACTGTGACGAGCTGAGCCAGACTTTGTACATCTGCATACCAGAGAACAATAACACCACCAATATCGATGACAGCATGAATGACATTCCACTGCTAACAGCTGTAACATCAATATGTAATGTTAACGTTAGCAATAATATTAAAAGAGTAACAAAAGATAAATAAAAATTACTATCCTTTTGCCTTACATATATAATATATATTGCTTATGCACTATAAACAATTGCAGAAACAATTATAGACATTTTTCGTGTATTGGGTTTATTCTTGGAGACACAAATAATTTGTTTTAGTTAATTTAATAAAATTACCAGATCGCGACGAGACTGAAATATCACCTGACAATTGATAACTCCTCTTTACAGCATGCAAATTCTTGTTAAATTTTTTCTACTAATATTTGGTAATTTAAAAATATAACTTTCAAAGCGCTGATATTTACCCATTGTTGCTGAAAAATTTAGGAATAATCATAGACCTATCCCTTCTTTCTTTTCTCACAGCGAGAATTTACATAAACTGTGTACAATTCCCTGCACATTCACTGAGGTTAGCACAGGTTAACTGCAGTTTGGATAACCGGCATACCTACTATTCCATGCGTACAAATGTCAGCAACACGTCAGCAACATCAAGCAATGATCAATTGATTCAAAGATGTTCCACTCATTCTTTATTGGAGACCCGATCGAGTTATTAATTTAAATGTTTCTAACTCATTAGCAAGATCGCTTACAATAAAATTTCAAACACAGAGCAGATATAAAAATGACATTGAAATCAATTATAAATTTTTTTTCATTAGCTACGTATTTTAATTTGAGAACTTCTGCCTTTAACCTTTGAATATAGATAGGTGGATTTTTAAAATACAAGTATAGGTAGATGAGGTGCTGGAAATACCCCAAAAAGTTTTTATTTTTGTAATTATATTTTTTATTAAAATATTATATTTTAGTTAAATTTACATTAATTAGACTAATAAGATAGAGAAATGAAAAAATAATGAACTTTAACACTTCCAGATAATACTTTTTAATTTATTTTCCAGAACGGCATTTTTTGTTATAGATATTTTCCCGTTTTATTTCTTAACACTATTTTTTTGTTATTAAAAAACGTAACTCTAGAAATCTAAAAAAGAGTAAAAACAAATATTCTGATACTAAATAGTACCTTAATTAATACATAAATCGTCATAAAAAAATATTAAATTGAAAATAGTATAAGTATCCGGGAAAAAATTTATTTTTATATATAATTACATATAATTACTAATTACGTTTAAGCCCGGATCTACAATAGGTTTTTAAACCTTAAAGCCATAAGAAATGGATGAATCACAATCGATTATTCTTCTCGCATTCTGCTGTAATTGGTCAGTTTCTTACGGTTTAAAACTTAAAACACTTATTGCAGATCCGAACTAAAAGAACTCTGCAATTAGTAATATAAGATTAAACTAGTGCCAGAGATGCCACGAAGCAAAGCGCGAAATGTACGTACAACGATACCCGTTTGTCAAAATCATGTAAGATAAAAATAATTGAATAAACCGTGAATATTTTTTGTACGCAATAATTGGGTTCTAAACGGCGCGCGACGAACAGCGAGGAGTGGGGGAAGGCACGCTCCCCCTCGCTTTTCGCCGCGCGGCGCTTTTTTTGTGATTGACTACGTCATCACTTTGGCATTCGCTCGGCGACCTCGGAGCGAGACGGGCGTGTAGGGCGAGTCGCTGCGCGTGTCGCATTAACCCACGAAAATTAAATACATATCTACGAACGCGAATCGATATTCATAATTTACGACTCGTGAACATGTCGAAACGACTGCCGTTTGTCGAAGGTATATTATAGTTACACTATCTCATGCTCGAAATCAGCGACCTGATGAAAATAAAAATCAGAGCGTAAATCGAATGTAATGAGAGAGTAACGGAAGCGTAAACGAAACTTGTAAGAAGCGATAATTAAAACATCAAAAGTGTAAATGCTTCTTTTACATTTTATTGTTCCAATTTTCGCCTTCTAGAAGTTCGTTCTGAACTTCGCGCTTCCGTTACTCTTCCATTACATCCGATTTACGCTCCGATTTTTATTTTCATCAGGGCGTCGAAATATATGATAGTTTAGTTTAGAAATTACAAATTGTAATTTCACGTTTAGACCGGTACTTAATAATGTCCTCTTTAATGGTAGTCGATGGCTTTGCATATCACTCTCGAATCGAAAGCGCGCTTTCATTTAGGCATAAATTTAGATTTATTGAATTACCGGATTACGATTCGAAAGTAACAAAAAGTTAAAATGCGTTAATCTTTTCTTAAAAATATTGCGCACATTACGCGAATTTTGTGTTACCAAAAGTTATTACAATAACTAATCGCTTATTGTAACACAGTTTGAAATATCTAAGATATTAAAATGAGTTGTGTGCATAACGAATCCAAGAAATAAAGCAAAGATCGTACAATAAATTTGAAGAATGTTAAAAATGTAACGACTAGATTATTTTACTTCTGTAATATGGGTTAATATTTGGACGGTTAGATGATCGGCGCGCAACCTTCGGTATTGTTTTGGTGCGGAAGGCGTCACGTTTACGCGAAGTTACCGCGCAGTCATTCCATTATCGAGGTTCGTACATGTAGGTAGCCGTGTCGCGTGCCGTTCTTCTTTACATTTCTTTTTCAAACGTAATCGCGACAAATGCTAGATAATATGAAACATTATACTTTATCAATACTCACAGATTACTAGCTCGCACGATTAATTATTCATAAAAGAATCGAGATGACAATCATATATCACGAAACAGATATTTCGTACAAACGTTTATTCATTTGGAATCAAAACGCGATGGAAAAATAGAATTTAATACTATTTTGCGATAATTACGGACGACAATTATTTTTGCTTAATATGTAACATTTTTGTCTCACTTGAGACAAATATTTTTTGAAATATTGGTTGATTTTTTTACTCTGTTTGAATTTTTTATTCTTTTTGTTACAGAATCATCGAAGCGACGTTGCTGATATGATTCCATTGTTGCGTATCGGGTCGGTGAGTGATAAATTAATTATTTTATTAAGGTAACGGATGTGTGCACCAATTTAATAAAAATATATATGGATAAATGTATGTATAGCATTTCATACATCTGTTACCTTGAAGTGGATAAATATTACAACAGATTAGAATAAACTTAATCTTTATTATAGAATTTATTGTGCATGCACTACTAAATTTATAATATCACGTTACATCCAGTTTGAATTATTTTTATCTCGTTAATTTAACTAAAACGATAGAGTAAAACTATTTAATTAAAGAAAACTATTAAAGGTTCAAATTTTGTTTTAATTGTAAATTCATACATTAATGTGAATGCTTTGATACTAATTCTAAATAATTCAAGCTTAATTTGATACTAAGTAATTCAACTCGGGAAAAAACATTTTATATAAAATTATATAAAAATATATATAATTTTATGTAATTATATATTTATTATATATTTATTATATAAGAAAATTATCCAATCGCATTTCTTTTATAAAGTCGCACGTAAAATGTGATTGGATAATTTTCTGTATGCATATACGTTTGTGCGGCTATGCAAATTTGTGTGGATATACCGTAAGACGTGAACTTAAGCCCACGAGCCAATTAAGATACTACTTTAGATCTACGTAATCTGACGGAAATAGAAATAAAGGGCTTCACACATGAAATGCATAACAGAGCATAAGCATAACATAAGACTGCTGGACCAATGAGCATCTAGCATAATGTCGCCATATTGATTTACATAAGATGCTCATTGGTTTAGTGGCCTCATGTTATGCTTATGCTCTGTTATGCATTTCATGTGTGAGAAGCCCTATAGCAGTAAATTTATCCGTAAGACAAATTTGATCCGGTTGAAATTTTCTTTAGAACAGGCTTGAAGCCTGTTCTACAATGGGGTCGCAAGCCGCAAGCCGTAAAAAATTAACAAATAAGTTGATTATTTTTGTCATATTCAACTGTGATTGGCTAATTTTTTACAGTTTACAACTTGCGACCCTATTGCATAAGTGGACTGCAGCCTAAAAGGGTGCAACACTTTTTTAAAATGAGTTTCAGAATGCAGTCTATTCACTGAGCGATTGGTTCTTACTTACGGATCTATAAGTAATAACCAATCGCTCGGTGAGCACATACATACATGTTGGAGAAGAAAAAGAGGAAAAATAGGAAAAATAAACGGTGCAAGAATTTCAGCTATTATCGATTATTTAGCTTCGCCATTTTAACACATCGAATTTTCAAACGCTGTCTGTCACTCCTACGCGTCTCCGCAATATGTCGCGTATAAAACAAAACTGTTTGCAAGTGAAACTAATTGTGGCTGCGATAAATCAAGAGCAGTATTGCTCGTAAGAGACAATCGATCGTTAAACTCCTGCGTGCATAGTGGTGCATACGAGCGAGCGAATGGCTTAATCGAGCGTTTTCCCGTCCAGCCGGAAAGATAACCTTCAAAAATCGACGCTTGACACATGGAAAATGCCGCGCGCAAAAAGCTTTCCGCAGAAACTAGTCAAGGTGACGAGCTCTCACCCGTCGGCGAACACGTGGGTGTTCCTGATGAAAGGTGAACGCGACGATTCATTGTTTTATCGTATTGACAATTGCAACTTGCAATTTTACTAGTGATTGCTGCGGTCGCATTCTAAATGTTCCTAAGAAATACATGTCTCCGTATCGTATATCAATGAAAATGTATTTTAGATGGCAATTTAGACAGCACAAGTAGAGGTCAATCTGAGATAGTGAAACTTAGACATCCAGCTTCTGATAAGCCAGCTATATTTGTATTCGGCGCTGGAAATCTCACAGTTCAAGAGATTTTAATCTTCGACGAAAAGAAAAGATCTTGGTTTATTGATGATAACGTCAAATCTGATGGAAAGTTGCATTTATCGACACCAATCGATCCTATCTTTTTGGCTTTACCATACTTGAGAAAGGTAATTGTAGAATTTTATTTCTTTATGAGAAATTTTCAAGATGTAATTGTTAAAATAAATACTTGTTATAGTCACAACTAGCACAACCTTTGGAGCAATGCCTCTGGGATGAAGATTTTCCAGAGACTTCTCGACTTGCACAATGTGACAACTTGAATCTATCCTTAGTTGCCGATCGTAAAGGAGACGAATCGCTACAAGCTTTTAAGTTTAATGAGGAGAAATCGTTAAATTGGTTGCAAAAGAAGGTAGAAAAGGTAGCACATGTATTAAAAGAAAAAGGAGTTCATGTATCTCAAGGTGCTATGAGTGCCACTTATGTTAAGAGTACTAAATATGAAATTGGTACAGAAGCAGGTAAGAAAAATCACAATCATAATGCTGTTTATGAAACAAAGAAGGGATAAGATTATAAGATAGAATATTTGAGGGTTTCTCAATATCTATTGTAGTTGAATTGAAATATAACAAAATCTTCAACCAATTTTTGTAGGCCACCATCTACAAGCAAGATCAATTAATTGAGCACTTATCGAAAATTTTCTTATAGAATACTTAAAATATGCACATGGCATTGTGTCAGAATACCTTGCTGAAGA